TTTTAATTTTAATTTTAATTTAATTTATTTTTAATTTTATTTGTCGCGCTGCTGATGACGTCATGTATGTGCTTTGATTGGGTGCGCTTTAGTGGACCGCGGTTTTGACAGGTCACGCCGTTTCCCCACAGTAGAAAATGTGGCAGGGCTGAAGGCCCAATGGAAAAGATTGGTTTTTCCTTCCCAAGGACCGGCCCATAGATTTCTACTGCTCTCCTCTCCTCTGCCTTTTGTGCATCCGCACGAAAGGCTCTGGACCCAGCTGTTCCTCCTCTTCCTCATCTGATTCGGCTGCCGGAGGGGCCGGTAGCCAAAGGGCCACAACAGGATCCGAACCAATGGCAATTCACTGTCCTCAATGTTTACGTTGAGTGTGGTTTGGACCCTGTTAATGTCATGAATGAGAGTCAGTTGCCAAGCGTTTGAATGTTGATCATGTGGCCATGGGGATGTTCCCAGTGCTCGTAAGCGTGGAAACCGGTTGTAAGTCACTTTTCTCAGTGCCCTCGTAACTTCAAACAGTCACTGAACGAACTGTTGTAAATCCAGGACTGCCTGCGGGAAGTCTATAAAGCTAAGGATGAAGACAGATGGAGGACAGTTTGAAAAAAACTACCCACTTGTCCTTGACTTACAACCGTGGATTTAGTGACCGTTTTAAGTGGTAATATCTCTGGAGATTTCCCATCCTCCAGGTCATGGTTGTCCCACAGGTGCTTTTATTCCCCAAGAGGCAACTGGACTTTCTGGTTTTTTCTCTGAAGACGTTTCGCTTCTCACCCAAGAAGCTTCTTCAGCTTTGACTGGACGGTGGGGAATGGAAGGATTGATACTGGCAAAGCATTTGGGCCACCACAGGTGATCCCAACACGACTGACATCGAGCTGGCCACCCCCCACGAGGTCAAACACAATCCTTATGTGTCCCTCAATGGAATCGAGTTTGACACCCCTGAGTTAAAGCTTCATGGATCCTGGGTGTAAGCAGGGGTGGGATTCAGCCGGTTCGGGTGAACCAGATGTTAATTTTACATCTGGTTTGCCCAAACCGGTAGTTGCAAGGACTGGCTGGCCTCAACCATCCATCCCTCCCCTCCCAGGAGTCTCCATCATGCCAGGTAAGTGCAGGGCCCACACGGAGGCTCTAGGAGGGTGAAAAAAAGGCCTACTGGAAGTTCGGAAGTCCAGAAATGGGCCCATTTCCAACTTCTGGAGGGCCTCCAGGGCCTGGGGGAGGCCGTTTTCACCCTCCCGGAGGCTCGGGAAAAACCTCCAGAGTCTAGGGAGAGCAAAAAACAGGCCTACCAAAAGAATCGGGCTTGTTTCCAGCCTCCAGGGGTCCTCTGGAGCCTAGGGGAGGTTGTTTTTCCCTCCTGGAAGCTCACGGGAGCCTGTGTAGGGTGACAAACGTGTCTACTGGAAGTGCCGGAAGTCCAAAAACGAGACTATTTTCAGCCTCCGGAGGGTCTCCGGAGGCCGGGGGAGCTCATTTTTGCCTTCCGGGAGGCTCAAGGAAAACCTCTGGAGCCTGGGGAGGGTGAACTTCCCCCCCCCCGCTGTGATGCAGGAGGCCAAGTAGGCCACACCCACCATGGCCACGCCCATCCAGCAACCGGGCAGAGAACCAGTTGCTCACATTTTTCAATCCCACCCGTGGGTGTAAGTCAAGCTTATACCGCTCGCAACAGCATTAAAAATGCCAAGCTAGTTCCCTGCTCAACCCCATTCTTCCATTCTGACAAATTTCCCAGAAAAGATTCGCTCCGCAACGCCTCACAGCGGCACGAGAGCGGCTCTCCCCTCCCTCTCCAAACGGCACCTACTTGTCACGAGGACTGCAACCTGTGTCTTTATACTAAATTCTTCCCCTTGGGGCACTTTATTGGTCAGTATGCAGAAGTAGGTCCCATTATCCTCAGGGCTCACGATGGTGATGCCGATGCTGAAGTCGGTTCTCGATTCTGGAACGAGCCTCTCCCCGCGAGAAAAGTGGTCGTCATCCTTGTAAATTAACTTCCGCCGATTGTTGCTCCAAGTTTTGTACCATCTTGCACTTGTGGGCAGGTCCGTTTGAGCCAGGGTACAGTTGAGCGTGAGGGTCGTGCCTATTGTGACCTGCACAAAGGTAGAGTCAGGTATCCGGGGTTCGGTGGTTATGCCGGGAAGACCAGCCTCTGAAATGGAAAATATCCTCTGTTTATTCTGGAGATCCCAAATAGCCATAATTCGAGCGAGGGAATGAATGGCAGGTGTCAGGTTTCCGAAAGATGCCCTAATGATTTGAATCTCACTTCTGGGCTTCCTGCCTCCATCTTACTTTAACACTAAACTTCCTCTTCTGCACACCTCACACACCTTATGCCACGTGGCTTGCAATGTTGGGCTTGGACAACCTAGAACTAGGCCAGCGAAGGTCTGATCGAAGTGTAGAACACAAAACTGTCTGCCACAATGTCCTACCTGTTCAACGACTTCTTCAACTTCAACTGCAATAATACGCGGGCAAACAATCGATGCAAACTCAAAAGATAAATTGCTCCAACCTCCCGCAACGGGGGGGTCACCGCCAGGAATGCTCTGCCCGACTCTGTTGTTACATGCTCAAACCCCCAGAACTTTAACCTTAAACGGTCTACCGTGGACCTCGCCCCATTCCTAAGAGGTCCGTAAAGGGCGCATGCATAAGCTCACCAGCGTGCCTACCGTCCCTGTCTTATTGTCCCCACTTATTCGTACCCGTTTCCTTTGTTCATGTCCATACTTATACCTGCTATCTCGTACATGTTTGACTAACTAACTAGCTAGCTAACTGTTCTGACCCCC